CCGAAGTGAACGGAGAAGTTGAAGGAGGTAGGCCTAGGCCCACTGGGGCTGTAGTGCCAAGGAAAAAAAACTGTTAGAACGCTGCATTGAAATAAATACGTTAAGTTGGCAGTACTGTTACAACCATTGTTGAGTTTTTGTTTTTGGCTGTTGACATTGTTGGCGTTGGAACACGAGGAAGACATAAATATGACTGCGAAAGGAATCGTAAAGCGGGCTTTAATGAGAGTGTTGTGAGTCTAGCGGCTTCTGCCAAGATTTGGGCTGTCGACTACTCAACTGTTCCCAAGGCTTCAGAACTAGAAGACCCATACGAAACCGCAGGACTAAAAACCTCCGAGTTTTCAAGCATGGCACGGAACTGAAACAGTGGAACACATCACAATTACTGAATTTTTGGACTTCGTCCAACGTCCGACATTCTAAAACAAAAAACTAGAGAACACATGTTTCGGAAACTGGATCTGTTTCCTTCCTCAGGTGAAGAGGGAAGACACCGACTCTATTGTGTCCCTTAGAAAAAGCTAACCTCAGTCAGTTCCTGTTTCCGAAACGTTGAGTTCTCTAGTCTTTATAGAATACCGGACGATGGACAAAGTCCAAAAACCCAGTAATTCCGAGTGTTATAGACCATTGTCCGAGCCCTTTAGAATCTACTAATAGAACACATTTTTGCAATCTTTGCGAGTACGTCCAGAATTTCATCTTCTGGTTTATCTGTGCGCGTTTAACACTAGTTCGCCCTTGCTAATGAAGATACAGAAACTAACTTAATATTATTTTTTTTAATTCGCATAGTGGAGGGTGGAGTCCAACTGGGTCCACTCGGCACGTCGGCCACTGATTGGCCTACTGTACCTGCCCCGGGTGATTATGATGATGGAGAATTTGGTGGAATGAAGATTGACAGGGAAAACCGAAGTACTCGGAGAAAACCAGCTACAGCGCCACTTTGTCCACCACAAATCCCACTTAACTAGAACCAGGCTCGAACCCGGGCCGCCGCGGTGGGAAGGCAGCGACTAACCGCATGAGCAACTAACTTACGTTCGACATATTAAAAAACTGGGAAATTATTTCTACGGTTCAGTTCAGGATCTTTAAACTGCAACCCTCGTATCTAAAAAATAAAATAGTTTACTCAAATATAAAAAAGTACAATTTTATCTCTCGTTTTACATGGGTATAAAGTGGCCGGAGCATGAACCTGACCACCACCTCCAACTAGTGCCGAGGTCAAGCACACGCGGATCTGTACCTCAACTCACCAATGTCCTCATGACGTAGTGCTGAGTTAAAAACAGGGACAAGTTTACCTTTACCTCACCTGGGTCTCTCATTGTAATTATGAATATACCTGTTTGAGAGCAGGGTACTGACGAGAGTGTTTCGATCTGAGAAGGAAGGGGTAATGAAGGATGCGGAAACTAAACTACTTGATAAGGAGCGTTGCTATTTGTACCCTTCATCACACAGGACAATTATTAAGAGTCACCAAATCATTTTCAAGACACATATATATTTAAGCTGGATACAAATGCATGAAAAATGTTGTCAGACTGGGCATAACTTCGCGAAACACGTGTTTTTATGCTGGACAGAGCTTCATGTTCCCCCAAAGGTGTCTCCACCTTGTCGTGGTGGTGGGAGTTGCGTGACTCTGTGACCTGGAGAGCTATGCCGGCGGTAGTTTAACTACCGGTAGGGTCACCTATGTCAGAAAGGTCAAGGGGTAGAGTCCAGACTAAGAGAGATACCCTGCTCCTCCGGGTTAGGGGTTGGGCATGGGGCTAACAACCTCATCCTGTAAAAAGAATTTTGTTCAGAAACCTAACAACCAGCTCGGTTCATCATGCGTGGGTCCATTCTTATAACAGCACGCATTGGTTGTGGAGACTGGTTGTAGAGGAGGCCAAGGCTCACCGAGGGCTGTAGCACCGAGTGGTAGGTAGGTAGGTAGGTAGGTGGGTAGGTAGGTAGCTTCATGTAGCACACATTTCGAAGTGGATATAACTTCATCAAACACGTTTTCTGAGGCTGTATACAGCGTCATGAAACACGCGTTCTCAGCCTGAATATAACATCATGAATCATACGTTTTTCAGACTGGACACAGCTGCATGCAACACGTGTTTTCAAGCTGGTTATTTCTTCAGAAAGTACATGTTTTTACTCCGTATACTACTTCACAAAGCACATGTTTTTAGGGTTAACAGCACAGTTTGTTTGTATGCCGCTGTCACAACTCGCGCCGCGCTAACTGTCACTGCCGCGCAAACAAGGCCATAAACACAACTTTACGAGGCGGTCGGCTGCTATCGCGAGGTTGGAGTCTTGAATCTCTCAGGTGAACACCTTAAACTATGCCATCTTCTCAGTCAGCCAATCTTTGCCAGACTAAAGTCACCACACATTCTATAAATGTTCTAGCAAAAATTCTGGCAAGCTAAAATGTAAGTAAAATCATGTCACCTTCTAAGCCTGGTGACGTTTCAGCGTTTTTATCACACTCCGAAAAATGATTGACGGCTCACAGAACAGGCCACGATATTTACCTCCCTTCCACATACTCCATAAATCACATTTATAAATCGCGGTATCACTTTTAATCTAAAACAACATTAAATTAAAAATTGACAAAAACAAGTTATTGGTATTGTTGTGATGAATAACTGTAGCGAGTCAGGCAAATAATGAGACACAACCCGCGGCCTCAACATGAGACCTCACATAAACTTGCCTCTTTTCATTGGCTGCTCAGCTTCAGCCCTATGTCCTGAGTAGAAACATGACAAGATAGGGAGAATTTCATCATTTTAAACAAAATCGAATTTATTCCATGCAGGCTAAAGGGTGTAGGCCTTATCAGAATGTTGTCAAGGCACTTTGTAACCGGTTTAATTTGTTTTCCACATTTTGAAATATATATTGCAACGGATTTGATAAAGGTGTTGCCAGGCAACAGCTCTGTAAACTCGAATACAGAAAATATAAGGGAAACTGTGTTGTCTATGTAGTCCGCGCCGGGCTGGCGCAAGGAGGTGTATGAAGTCCATTGCCAGGCAACGAAGTTATCTTAAGGACGAACAGCGCTACGAGTCAGTCTGAGTTCTCAGCGGAAGATAGCCACGGAAGGTTGGTCACAGAAGAAGAAGTCGGTCTGTGAAGACTTGGTGTGTGACTGAAAGATTTAGTCACAGTGAGACTGTTTTAATTCCGTTACCAGAAGACGACTAGTGAAGGCTGAGGATCTTACTGCGTGTGTAACGGTGAACTGTAAAATTGTGGAAACCAACAGTAGCGGTGTATTTAAATGTGATTAAGGGGACTTGTAACCAAGGTGATAATAAATCAAATCATCCGAACTAGAACCCATTACTTTCGTCACGCGTACCACCTTACACGTGCCAATATAATCACCAATCTCCGTATGCGACTTGTCGTACCCCCGGATCAGAAACTATGGGTTAAAATATCATCAAATAATTAATTTTAAATATCACGAACCATAGCAACCGCAAGCTGAAGTTTGCAAGATACGATTAAGCATGTGAAACGAGAGCGGACTCAGCTTTCCTCTCAGTCTCAACGGTTATACCTGCGCTACACGTTTCGACCCTTCCTAGGTCATCATCAGGAGAGTCACAAGAATATCAAACAAAGTTCTTGAATTGAGTTACCTTAATACGAGTATGGATCCGTAATTTACAAATTAGTTTTGCTTTTCTGATAGCGAATATAATCTAACAATGCACACGAAAACTGTGTAAATGTATGGTATTTATCTAAGTTTAATATTGTTTAAGACTAATACACATTAAAAATTTGTATTTAATATTAATAATTATATTTATGGAGTATGTCCTTGAAATAAAATTGAATTTTAAGACTTTTTCAACATTTTTAAATAACTACTCTAATTATGCGTAGGTTCTGGACTAATTCTAAATATTATTAAAGTGTGCTTATGATAGAAAATCGTTTTCATTGTCGTCGTTATGATCGTGGTTGTTGGCTGATGAATTATGGGATGATGCAACGTGAGGGGTCCTTCTTCAAATCTCTGTCGTGTTGATTTTTATTTCTATCGCGTGTAAATGGTTCTACACGTTTTTCCTTACTGTCACTCCCAGATAATTTTGTTTACATATGTGTAGTTCGTTTTGTGTTTGCTTTTATGTATGTGAAGGGGCCCCAGTTGTAGTATTGTTTACCGTTGGTCGGGCCATAGTTCAAGCGGTTAGTCGCTGACTTCCCACCGCGGCGGCCCGGGTTCGATCCCGGGGTCTAGTCAAGTGGGATTTATCGTGGACAAAGTGGCACTGGAGCGGATTTTCTCCGAGTACTTCGGTTTCCCCTGCCAATCTTCATTCCACCAAATTCTCCATCATCATAATCACCCGGGGCAGGTACAATAGGCCAATCAGTGGCCGCAGTGCCGAGTAGACCCAGTTGGACTCCCCCCCACTAAGCGAATTAAAAAACATTGTTTACCGTTGCAGTACTCTCTGCTGCAAATTGTTACATTTACAGGGTAAGAAACCACATCCCGGTAGAAGAACTTTTTTTTTACATAAATCATATCACTCACACTTGGGTAAAATGTTTCCCTTGTATGATAAAATTTTCAAATCGATTTTTCAATTGAATAATGAGTTTTGAAATTCTCAACGTGAAGAAAATATTGATTGTGGTCTTCCTGGTTATGACAGGAAAATAACAGTGATACCGCGATGACACTCGGGGGGTGGGGGGTGAGAATAAACCCTGATCTACCCTTGTACTTCAGCAGTATATGAGATTAAAATTATTATCTAAAAAGTAACAAGACATATTTCCGCAATCAACATCACATTTCTTAATGATACGTTCCAAGTGAGAGCGTCTTGCGGGGGCCGAGGGAGGGGCAACAGGAGGATCTTCTTCACTGTTTCAACCAATAGGAGAGGGAGAAGCCTCCAAGAACTTGTAACGTATTCTCCCTTGCCTCAGTTCCGCCCCGGACTGTGAGTGATGTAGGATGTGAACGTGTTCATGATCAGTGACAGCTTCCAGCTCGTGAGGTTCTCATTAAGTTCCTGCTTTAAAGTCTTAATTAAACACAGAAAAAAATATATAAAATTAGTGCTAAAAATACAGCTGTTTGAATTTCATAAATTTTACGGGTATGCTTGATTGTAACATACATTCGTGTTTAGTTCGAGACTAATATATCCACAAATGTATTAGATGAAACCAAAAGTATTCAAACATTAGTGCCTATTGTTGAGTACTGCATCCATCACTGAGGACATATTAGGGCTGTAACTAACGTGAAAGGGATTAAGAAGAATATCAACTTGGAATAAAAAACAAATGCACATCAAGACAGAAGAAGGCGACAGGCCATTGCCGACAATGTCTTACTACCCAGGGTCCGAAGCGTGCAACAGACACATCCCAGACAACGACGTGGGGTCCTCGGCGTCCTCCTCCCCGACGCGATACGAGTACCCGCCTTTCAAGTTTTGTCCAGACGCAACCTCAAGACTCATAGACCTGAGCAGGGGCAATTCCGGGCAAAGCAGCAACTCAGGGACGTTCTCGCACCACTACAGCCCATATCACCATCACCATCACCACCACGGTCCCTTGAACCAGCTACCCGCTAACTACCTGATTCCTCCTGGCTACAACGGACAAGAGTTCCTCGACAGGCAGATCAACAGACACGTGGATGATGACGCGTCCTCAATTTCGGCTCATCACTTGCAGGAAGACCAACAGCCGACGTCGTCAAAGTTATTGGACTCAGATGACGGTGAGGAGGGCGCCGCGGCGGTTGCTTCTGGGTCGGTTATCAAACTGGGAGCAGCGCGGAAGCGAAAGAGTTGCTCGACAAGACAGTTGTTCAATCAGGAGAATTGCGACAAGCACAAAGTTCGCAGGAAGTCGCAGTCATTCGAGGAGCTGCAGTCGCAGCGCGTTCAGGCGAACGTGCGCGAACGGCAGCGCACGCAGAGCCTAAACGAAGCGTTCGCGTCGTTACGGAAGATCATTCCCACTTTGCCATCGGACAAACTGTCTAAGATACAGACGCTGAAGCTGGCCGCACGCTACATCGACTTCCTGTACCAGGTGCTGCATTGCGGAGTCGGAACGGACGGGGACAACGACGGTGACGACAACACAGGTCAGCCTTCCCTCACCCCCAAATTCAATCTGAGCTCATTTCCGAAACATTCGCGATCTTAACAAGATTGGAAACAATGTACTCTGTAACGTAGTTAAGTGCGTGGAGAACCTTGAGACATTATTTTCAGAACGTTGCTTTTCTGCATACAGTGCGGTGGCATTTTATTTGAATTAAGCGAATTTGAAATAAAGCGATATAAAAATGGTAATAAACTCTTTTTATGCGCGAAGTTTGAAAAAATGGGAATCCCGAAAATTTCGGCAAGAATCACGAATGTTTTTCAAAACTTGTCTTGAATTATGCGAAGCCTTCAGGAAAGCATCACCGCATAAAATGCGACTGCACTGTATAAAATTGTATTGACGGTGTTTCACTAGTAGGCCAATATACATGAAAGAGTACATTTATTTTCTTAAGTAAATGGAGTGGGTCAATATGGACGGAAATCGCAGATGTCCGACAGCCTTCACTGAAAGCCTCCCGTAACTAGTTCCATGTAGTGGCGCCCTTATTGACAAGCCGCCAGTTGTGCAGTTATTCTAAGATACACCCAACGCTTTATGGAATCCGAATAATAATTACCGTGTCCACATGAGCCCTCCACTGGTCCATATCTTGAACCAGATCAATCCAGTACATACCACACCATCCTATCTCTCTAAGATACATCTTAATACATTATTCACCCACCTATGCCTGGGTCTCCTAGTGGTCTATTTCCTTCTGGCTTTCCCATCAATATCATATATCGCTTCTCCCCCATTCGTGCTACATGCCATGTCCATCTCATCCTCCTTGATTTGATTATTCTAATTATACTTGGAGAAGAGTATAAATTATGAAGCTACTCATTATGCAGTTTTCTACAACCTCCTGTCACTTCATCTCTGTTTGGTCCAAATATTCTTCTCAAACACCCTTCAGTCTATGTTCATCCCTTAATGTCAGAGGTCAAGTTTCACACCTATACAGAACCACAGACAAAATTATAGTTTTGTATATTCTAATTTTTATGTTTTTGGACAACAGACGAGGAGACAAAAAGCTTTTGCGCTGAATGGTAGCAAGCATTATCCGAGTTCAATCTCCTCTTAATTTCCTCCTGAATCAGGTTTTGATTTGTTATCGTCGATCCCAAATATCTGAACTGTGCCACATTTTCAAAACATCTGTTTCCTGTCTTTATGTCATGATTTTACCTTGCATTTTGGTGACGAGACAGCAACATATACTTAGTTTTCTCTGTGTTTACTTCTAGACCAACCTCTTTACTTGCGTCAATTAAAGTTTCTGTGTTTTGCTTTATGGTTTCTACATTATCACCCAGTAGATTCACATCATCGGCATAGGCCAACAGCTGATGTGTCCCGTTTAATATCAGTTCCATCTGGTTTCCCGGGATCTCCCTAATGCCATATTCTAAAGCAAATTTGAAAAGGAGTGGCGTTAAAGCATCTCCTTGTTTTAGACCATCGTGGATAGGAAATTTATCAGAGAAATGTTTACCTACTCCGACTTTACTATGCGTTTGGTTTAAACACATTTTAATCAACGCAACTAGTTTCATGGGTGTCCCAAACTCTATCAGAATACTGTACAATACTTCCCTTCTAACCGAATCATAGACTTTCTTGAAGTCTATGAATAGCTGATGTACTGTCTCATTGCACTCACATTTTTTCTCCAGCATCTGACGAATGCAAAATACTCGTATCTGATCAGTAGTTGATCTGTTACGTCAAAACCCACACTGATGATCCCAAATATATGTATGGACTTAACCTTGAGAGAAGAATATTGGAAAAAAATTTGTATGAAGTTGATAACAGTGATATCCCCCGATAATTACTGTAGTCAGTTTTATCACCTTTCTTTTAAATTGGTACAATAATAGACTCCTTCCACTGATCAGGCAATATTTACATATTTCATATAGAATGAATTCCCTTAAGGATCTTGGAACGTAATATTTCACCTCCTGCTTGAAGCAGTTCTCCCATAATTTGATCACTACCTGGCGATTTATAACGTTTCAAATTTGCAATAGCATTTTCAAACTCGAAAAGGCTAGTATCAGATATCAACGGCTCAGCTGTATGGATTTCTATCTGCCTAACATCACTGACCCTATCTGCATTCAGTAACAGAGAAGTAGTTTTCCATCTATTCAAAATGTTGTGGGAATCTACAAGCAGATCACCATTCTCATCCTTCACTAAGTTACTGCTTGGCTGGTAACCCCTCTTAAAGACATTTATTCCCCTGTACAGATCTCTAATATTCTTGTTCTTACTGTTCATTGCAAGCTCGTCAATTTTGTCTTTCAGATATTCCTTCTTTTTGTTCCTGAAATGCGTGCTAGTTTCACGTCTTATATTGTTCAGATTATCCCCATTTAACTCGCTTATTTGATGTCCAAGTAAATTTATAAATGTTACAATGTGAGAACATCGTTCTTTGACAGTAAGATTTTTGATGTGGCAAAGTTTACTACTCTAACTCCATTATCATTACTAATTTCATGCAAACTCTCATTCCCAAATGTAGATTTAAAAAGATTTCCCTACCTACTTTGGCATTAAAATCTCCTAACGAAATTTGCATGGTGTTTGGGAAATTTATCAAATACATGTTCTAGTTCTTCATAGAACCTGTCCTTCATATCACCAATTTTATCTTCTGTTGGTGCATGAATATTCAGCACATTGTTATCACACCAGGATGTACGACATCCTACCAATAACAAACCCTACCCTCTTAACTTCTGATGTGGTTCTCTTATATACGAGCAAATCTGCACCTAATTCATGATTTTCATTCCCCTTTCCACAGAAAAATGTATATTCGCCTGCTGGTTCGGTTCCACATTCTTGTCACCTGACCTCCCACTAAATCTAACTTATATTTTGAGATTTCTTCCACCACTGCCCAGAGCGAACCTGCCCTATACATAATTTTAACATTGCAAGTACCGAATCTCATATCCATTTTCTTTCGCTTATGTTGTTTATCCACGCAATCTGTCCAGGTCCGAGGCTTCTTGTGATCTTTCGTAAGAAGCTTATGCTTTTATAGGGAGGAGTAGTTAACCACACGCCCAACCCCCCAGCTGGAGGATCGCCCCTTTTCGGCTGTCCGCGAATGCTTATTCAATATATCCGCAGCTACCCTCCATATCTGGAGGCCGTCTCCTCCCTCCGCAACCCGAGGACGCGCCATGCCGTGGCGACAAGGGACCCACCTAAAATACTACAGTGTTAATTTACTCCACTGAACAGGAGCCGGTATAGTGACGGGCTACAGACTGGACGGCCGGGATTCGATTCTCGGCATGGCAAGAATTTTATAATGTCCATAGCATCGAGACCGACTCCGGACCCACCCAGCCTGCAATATAATGGGCACTGGGACAATTTCCCCGAGGGTAAAGCGGTCGGAGCGTGAGGCTAACAAGTCACGTCCATCTCGTGCCTAGGTCAAAAATGGTGGAGCTGTACCACCACTCCCTCATATGTCTTCAAGGCACAGTGCTTAATAATTAAGCATAGGGAAAATATTTACCTCTTTACTCCACAGAATATAGTCCATCAGAAACTAATAATAGATCGAAAGGTAAAATTCAAGGGTGAATAAGTCAGGATGCTGAGAGCTATACATGAGAACGGATGGGAGAAATGGAAAATTAATTCGCAATTTTAATCGGAAGAATAAAAAGGACCAGGCCACTTTGCAGATTCACACGCAGAGATAGGTATAATACTAAAATGGCTTTAAGGGAATAGGGTGTGGCTCAGCAGAGGCTTTTGAGAGAAGAGAGAAAATTTCTTGAATTAAGCGAGAATCCGTTTCTCAAAGAATACTGCGTCAAGGGCTTAGTTACCTTCCAAAGTCCGAGATTCATTTCAATAGTATTCATATGTACAAATTAGGCCAACACCCGTCAATGAGTCCATCCTACCCTGTTCCTACCAAATGGCGCGTTGTAGAAAAAGTAGTAAAGTTATAGTATGTTACTCTTGGAGGGGAAATCTGGGAAAATTCCTTTTGCTATTGCAGGCAGGGGTTCCAGCATTTCATCATTCTTGACCTCCCCTATGGAAGCAGTGGGGGAGTAGTGACAACGAATGTGATCTATACATATCTCATAGCAAGCCTGACCAAACTCAGAGATTTAAATGTAACCACCATGAAACAAACTCTGTGGCTTTAGTCAGCAAGCGAACTATACCGACCGAGCGACCGCCGCTTGTCGGCGAAGTTAGTGCCAACTTTAGCGGACAGAGGGTGTCGCGTGGTCATCGTAACGAATCCCCACGGCAGTTAATCTCGGGTTTCTAGACCAAAGCCGCTATTTCCTTGAAATAGCTCCTCAGTTATCCTCATGAGGCTGAGTGGACACCGTTCCAGACCAACTATTTCTCAGAAAATCTGGTAGCTCCGGGAATCGACCCCGGGATCTCTGGATCTGTAGCCAGGAGCTCTGACCACTAGAACACAGAGGCGGTCAGTGTAACCGCCATGAAGAACCAAAATTGTTCATGAACTCACAGTGCCGATTTCTCAATACGGGCACGTTACTATATAAATTTAAGTTCCTAGGGCACGTAGAACACATTGCTTCTCCATTACAAATATCATTCGGTTAATACTGTCAAGGAAACTGATCGATGTTTGTTACGATAATCATATGTAACCCATAAACAAACTCAGTGGGCAAAATGCGGAATCTCTGTGGTACATGTAGTAACCATAGTAACCACTGTGTTTTAAAGGGTATTGATAGTTATATTCGACATATGACGTATTTCGATGTACCGGTACTTGTTTGTGTGCCAGGAATCGAAACGAGGACGCCGGGCTCCTGCAGTCCCAGTACCCGATTGGCTCTGATGAGTGCTTCAGCTGTGACATCATCATGCACGTACATGGCCCACGAGAGGTTAAGCTACGCCTTTAGCGTGTGGAGAATGGAGGGCGATTGGAACGGCGGAGGCCATGTCTAGCAGGTCAGTAAGAGCCACGACTTTCCAGTCGGTACTTTGAAAGAAGTGGAGCCAGGTTGGCGCAGTCGATACAGCAGAGTTCCGGTAGGTTTCAAGAATGTTCACTTCTCCACTCCATCCAGACCGGCTCTGCGGCCCACCAAACCTTCTATTCAATGAGTAGCGGGGGCTCTTTCCCCGTGGGTAAAGCGGCCGGGGTTTTAAACTGACCACTCACCTCCAACTAGTATAGAGGTCAAGAAAAATGTGGATCTATACATCCACTCCCCCATACGCCTTCACGGCATAGTGCTTAATTACTTAGGCACAGGGACAACTTTACCTTTTTTCTTCACCTACACGCATCCTCAGCGTATTGAAATGGTCCCCACTGCAGATGACAAAATTTCATTGCTGTGTTCACAAAAGCCCGTAGTGTGACCCGATCCTGAGCCAGTTAAATTCAATTCAGTGCTACACGTGGCAGTCTCGACGCCCGGGCGTTCACGGCCTGTTACAGGGATAGCTTCACCTTTTTACTTTTACGAGGACTTCATGGAGGTGAAAATGCAGATTATTGTCTTCTGTGTTATGGTACCGTGTAGTCTGGTAGGTGGAACAAACCGCCTCCATTCGTAATGCAGAAGCAACTTCAGGGTCTAAACCACGAGGAACACGCGTAATGTGTAGGCCCATAAGATCTCTGTATTGAAAACGAAATGTAACAGTAAAGTTGTCATGTGCTTAACTATTAAGCACTATGCCATGAAAGTGTATGGGGGAGTGAATGTATAGATCCGCATTTTCTTGAACTTGGCACTAGCTGGAGGTGAATGGTCAGCTTCACGCCCCGACCGCTATACCCCCGGGGAAAGAGCCCCCCGTAACTATTGGATAGGAGGTTTGGTGGACCCCAGAGCTGGTCTGGACGATGTGAAGAAGAGAAAATTGTTGACCCTACTGGGACTCGAACTTCAACTCCTAGGTCGTACAGACCGTAGCCAGTCGCTATATCGACTACGCTATCCAGGCTCCTCTGTACTAAAAGTAACACATTAAAATATGCATATTACTTATCTGAAGGTAGAATTACCCCTTTACTTAATTAAGCACCACGCCATAAAAACGTATGGAGGAGTGGAGGTATGGTTCCAAGCATTATTAGCTTCGGCCGTAGCTATAAAGAACAGATTCAAGTCCCGTCTGCTTTACCCTCGGGGAATTAACTCCAGGTACCTGCTGCATAGGAGACTGGGTAGGCTCTAGAGGCGGTTTTAACTCTGTGGAGATATGAAAAATCTCCGCCCCTGCCGCATATCGAACCCCAGTTCCCAGGTCGTCCCGCCTAGTGACGGTGCTAACTGATGAGCTCCATCGGAAACTGCCTTGGAGCCATGTTAAGCGGACTTGACGCCAGACAATGCGGTCCATTGACGATGCTATCAAGTTAACTGCATGAAAAGATTGCGTTGCATCCGACTACACCTTGATGCCACGTCACAACAATGTCCACTCTTGTTACTAAGTTAGGACGCAAGGATTTCCACGCTCTCTCGCTGCTATAGCCAATATTTTACAGCACGACAGAGAAACACAGATCCTACATTATGTCTCCAGTAAGTGCTTCTGGCTCAGTACGTAAACTTATAACTAGAGTCCGACCACAATTTTATGACCCCCGCATCACGCTCAGTCCTGTCCACCTCTGCATAGCACTGGCCGACAGTGATGTTATTGCCGTTCGTCTCGAAAGTCTCCTGTTGATCAGGCGTGTTGGCAGTAGAATGTTTTATATGAAAGCACTGTTCCTGACTGCGTTTGAATTTGACCTTCAATTCTGACCATAGTGCTTGCTTCTTCCACCTGAGATGGGGGTTGCAACGCCACAGGCAGACTTGGCTAGGGATCGTCAAATCGTATTCAGACTATAGATCTACTTAACCTTCTCCAGTGTAGTCTACCGGCCGTTCTTAAACATTGGATAGGTTATGTGGACAAGTTCCCACGGCGGTGACTATGAAGATTACTCTATATTGATACGTGACTCCAAGTAGTTTCTTACATCTTGAAGATGAAGACATCTGGTTCCTTTGAAAGACTAGTGACGGTTTACCAGACTATACCCCGTGAAATAACAGAATAGGCTGCAATAGGCAGCCCAGTCTATTTAACTAGCCAAGAAATTGACTGATCTTTATTGAACCACAAATGTAGAACCACCATGTTCATAAGAGAACGCCATTGGGCGCTATCCACAGGCAGCCGAATGCTGTTCACACCTTGGCTGACTGTTTCTAATCAGACCCTTTTCAGACTGAATAAAAGCTAGAAAAGAACTCAGTAAGGATAGTCAGTGTCACAGCCGAGATTAGAACTGGGCACCTCGCGAATAAGTCGGAAGCATTAGGACTTGATGCAGTTGCTGGGCGCCGATACACTGGTAAATACCATCTCAATGGCATCTTCTCAGTCCCTCAGTCTTCAAAGCGACCTACACCAAGAGGTGAATATGACAGCGCAGTCAACAATCAATTCTCGGGATTCGGTTCAGTTTGTCCTGTTTTTGTGTAGTAGCTTCAAGCCTTCAGTAAAAAAATCCCACGCAGATCCCAGTAAATAAGGGAAGGAGGAGCTTCTCTCTGGAGGGGAGAAGCGAAGAGGCGCTGTGTTTATTTATTTGTAGTGGGAAGGTAGACAAAAACATACCCCCATTACCCGTAGGACATACAGAGGATAAAATTTCCCTAGAGCTACAAAAACGTTCCGGTAATGACGTAAAGCTTGGAGTAAACATTCACACAGTGAATATCCCCTCTGAACATGCACAGCTGCCACAATAGCGTGGATTCGAATCCTGGACGCCAGAACTAACTGATTTTCTCCATGGCACAGAGATATCAATTCTTCAGATAACTAACTCATGGAGCAGCCTGGGGCCCTTTGTAACATTTCGCAAAAAAAAAAAATCTTTTTTTTTTTCGGTGAGGAGTTGTTAGCCCCATGCGTGAAACACCTAGCTGGAGGGCCACCCTTTGTCGGCTGTTCTCGACTGCGCATTCAGTATATTAACAGTTCGGCTTAACATGCTTAGATAGGGAAGAAATCTCCAGTATTTTATGGAAACCGCAAGTCATTTATCGTGTTCATAACAGCCCACCAATGGTCCCTGTCCTGAGCCGGATGAATCCAGTCCACATCCTTCCACGGAGACTAATAAGGTTATCAGTCTAGCATATAGATACCAGTGCTTCGAAGGAATACAGTACCTGTGCCGTGATGATGTCGGAAAATCTCACGTAGGAGACACAACTCAAACAGGCGGATAGGCTAATGATACCCATGAGGAATATTCAATAAATAAGATATGGGCTTGTGGACTGGATTCAGCTGTCTCAAGAGTGAGAGACACAAAATTTCTTGACCAGTTAATCTCCCATCAGCTTTTAGAGAAAAACTTTTCTGCTCCGTGGAATTAGTTGTACAGTCCGGGAGGGTAGGACTTCTTCACCTTCCTGCCTCAGTATTTCACGTCACGAGCCGCGTTTAACTGATCTGTTATTTATTCGATGAGAATTGGAAGTGACACGGAGCTTTGATGTCAGCTGTTTTGATGCACAGCAGCGCTACTCTTTGAAATGTGGGCGTTGAGTGACTTACACCAGTGCCGAGGGCGTTACGAGGGAGGAAGAAGGGGAAGTTAAAAAATATACAACACCTTAGACAGTATCTCTAGATTATGATTTGAGCCCTGTTCAGGGCTCAAAGGGGACATCAAAGGGGAATGAAAACGATCTATCCTACGTAGGTAGCTGGCGGCCAGTTTGTTTGCAGCTTGGCTCCAGAAACTCTTCCACGTGCTACCCCATCTGAAGGTAATTTTGAGCTGAAATTTTCAGATCAGTTACCGTTCACATAAGAATCCCAAAAAAGTATATACAGCAATTGGAAGTCAAGATAGCTCAGTCAGAATAATGACTAGGTGACCGAGGAATCGGAGTTCAGCTGGCCGCAGAAATAGGAGACATTTCTCTTTACCACAGCGCCCAGTCTCCTATCCAATGGATACCGCGGACTCTTTCCTCAGGGATGAAGCGGCCAAAGCACAAATTTGACTATATCCATCTAATGCTGAGATTGAGGATACGTGCGGCTACAGCTCCCCGCCCCTGCATGTCTGTATGGTGTGATGCTTAACCCTTAAAACACAAAGAGCGGGTCAGAGTCAATGTCAGAGTTACTTTACAACTGGCGGTTTGCCGTTAATCAGTTTGTCTTGGCGATAAGCCCCTTCAGACTCACGACCAGCCATTCTTTATGTTGAACATTTTCGGTCATAGTCCTTATGTAACATCCTCTCTGACAAGAGGATGGGTTTGTCGTTTACAATTGCTGCTGGCTCTCGCCAGCGCAGTCATTCTCAGGTCCAAGTCCCGCGGGACTTATGACCACATTTTACTGACTCAGATTCGAGACTCCCGCAACCTTAGGGCCAGGTCCCCGTATTTATATCCCCCCAAAACCGGGGAGCCTAATTAGACCCCCAGACACTGAGTTCCCTTTTCGTCACCTCTTACGACTCGCAGGGCTATGGTGGAGGTATTCGACCACGCCTCCACACGGGCTACAAAGACTGAATTAATTCTGCATAATAGATTTAACAATTCATTTCGTACCTCATAGGAAACACAATACGTATCATCTACAAAGACAACCCGACTAATGCTGTTAGGGAAACACTCGATGTTTACTGTGAGAATCATATGAAACACAATCTGTGGGCAGAATGCAGAGTTTTATTACGTTAAAACATGTGATACTTGCAGTAACCAATGGTTAATTACGCGCAGGGGCCTTGGCCTTTAGGCATACTTTCACTTTAGTTACTTTAGTTACGACTTAAGTAGGCTAGATTCAGTGTTTAGAGGTTAACGGGAATTACAACTTAAAACGAATGTTAATACAATTCAGTGAGCCAATTGTGTGTACAGAACCTGTCACTAGCAGGCCTATAAATTCTGGTTCGGCCTAGATTATATTCCCCTGTATAACCAGAAGACGAGGAAGAAGACGTAAGAAGATGCTGGATGACCTTGGAGACAGAAGAGGATATTTTTATTTGAAGGAGAAAGCTCTAGATCGCATTAAGTGGAGGAACTGTTTTGGAAGAGACTGTGGACCTGTCGTTTGACAGATTACTGATGAATGAATGAATGAATGAATGAATGAATGAATAACTCCAAGATTCTGACCATAGCGCATGAATGATGAAGTACCCTGTGACATCGTGATTATGAACTGTGGAATGTTAAGGACATTGAAGGAAACAGCCATTATTTCTTTCGGACCATTGTCTCAGAATTTGCCTGGAATGTCAGGAATCGCACTAAAACCTCGGTCAAGGCGGCCTTATCCGAAAGCGGAACACCCAGAATTCTAAGTAGGAGTACCATCCAGCATCACACATCGTCTGCTAGCTCCGAATTATGATTTTGTTTCCAGCAGTGGCGCGCAGAATCTGTTACCTACTGTTGCGTCTCCAGCACGCAAAGAACGAAGCGACCGTGAAGGCTTTGTAAATTATAATTCGATTACGTCACCACAAGACGTCATGCTTTTATTACACTCGCTGGATTCTGCAAACGGCAGGCCGATATTACACAGCAGGCAAGAGCAACATATACTCGTGTAAGCGTTATTTATCCCACCGCGGCGGCCCGGGTTCGATCCCGAGTCTGGTCAAGTGGGATTTGTGGTGGACAAAGTGGCGCTGGGGCAGGTTTTCTCGGAGTACTTCGGTTTCCCCTGCCAATCTTCATTCCACCAATTGCTCCACAATCACCCTCACGTATCATCTGGGGCTGGTACAGTAAGCTACAAGTGGCCGCATTACAAGGGACTTAGTCCCACCCCACTAGCAATAAAAAAATTGTTATTTATTATAAAATAGCATTCCTCTATTCTGTACATACATTTGATTATTCAGCATTTTGTTCTTAACGTCTTCGGAGTGGTAGACCAAATACATTGTGGGATTTGGGGATATTCTAAAACAACTGTTTAAAATACACATGTTTATATCTTGGACTACCTCTGTGGTCTAATTGTCTGAATTGTTGTCTTTCATTTCTCTCCTTTTTCCTATATAACCCTCAGATTTTCTGAGTAGTGGGTCTGGAACAGGGTCCACTGAGCCTCGTGTGGATAACTGAAGAGCTATTTCAAAGAAAAAGCGGCTCCGGTCTATAAAACCGAAATTAACGGCCGTGAGGATTCTTTGCGCTGACCACGCGACACCCTCTATCCGCTAAAGTTGGCACTAACTTCGCCGACAAGCGGCGGTCGCTCGGTCGGTATAGTTCGCTTGCGGACTACAGGCCACGGATAACACAGTAAGCGTGTGTTGTATCGGCACCACAGCTACGGGTATACAGTAAAGCGTACGTCCGGGTCTGGAGAACATATCTACAGCTCCACTCTATNACACCCTATCTTCGCTGACAGTACGCCACTGTCGAACGAGTCGGACACTGCGTGCCGTGAGAGCCGCGAAGCAGAAAGAAAAAGAAGAAGAAGAGGAGGAGAAGGAACAAGAAGAAGAAGAAGAAGAACACGATGTTTCCCAGCTAGACAGAGAACGCTTTCAGAAATGAATGACATTAACAGCTGCGGCCCAACGTTGCCAGTTCGCTACTTTAACGCGCCGATTCAAATATGTACCAACAGGTGTACACTGTCTCGAAAATTTACGGCATTTGTATCACAGAAGTAAATCGGTCGTCCCTGTNCCACTCTATCTTCGCTGACAGTACGCCACTGTGGAACCAGTCGAACGAGTCGGACACTGCGTGCCGTGAGAGCCGCGAAGCAGAAAGAAAAAGAAGAAGAGGAGGAGAAGGAACAAGAAGAAGAAGAAGACGATGTTTCCCAGCTAGACAGAGAACGCTTTCAGAAATGAATGACATTAACAGCTGCGGCCCAACGTTGCCAGTTCGCTACTTTAACGCGCCGATTCAAATATGTACCAACAGGTGTACACTGTCTCGAAAATTTACGGCATTTGTATCACAGAAGTAAATCGGTCGTCCCTGTAAGAAGTATTGAGCAATGGAGGTATAGATCCACATAACTTCTGTACTACAAGGAGGTGAGCAGTCAACTTCACGCCTCCCTGGGAGAAAGAACCCCGGCAGGCCGATATGTTGTAGAGGAAGCTGGGTAGACCCCAGAACCGGTCTGGACGCTGTGAAGAAGAGAAAAGTCTCTCCCCCTCTCTGGAATCAAACCGCAGTTCCCCAGTCATCCAGGCCAGCACCAAGCCACTATACTGACTGGAATATCCCGGCTGCACGGCGTCACATGCCAGAAGACAGTGGATCTTCATTTCAATGAGTGTTTCATGAACCTAACTGTGACAATGTGAACTCCCCAAAATAGGGGACAGTGGAGAGTTTTTGCGGCGACGGTAATGAACAGTCGAGGGCCATCTGTAGATTTTCAAGAAATGTCAGAAATTCGGGAACTGTCAAGTGGAAATTCTATTCCCTGGACATAGTTATTTACATTCGTTTGAGTGCAAAAAGTAGTGAGTGGTTTTTAATAGTGATGACTACAGTACAGAAAAATCTTAAGGCGCGTCCACATTACTCGTGTTCGTCGAGAGACTCGTCTGGCTTTTACTTGTGCCCGTAAATCTTCGTCCACACTACTTCAGTTGCTCGCCAGGCTTCGGCGCGTGAGGATCCGTATATTTACTCGTAGTGTGTATAGGCTGTAGCAGTATTTTAATTTATTGGTTATAGTTTTTAAAATTAAAAATTTTAAATTTGTCTCGTGACTTGTCATATCGTCCACATTACTCGCGAGCATAGCGAGTCACACGAGCACGAGTAACGTGGACGTGCCTTTACTTCTACTTAGAAGTGAAACAGGCCCCTGTTTAGAAATCCCTTCGTTCTATGAATATACTGACCAATTTAATTCGTATCCGTAGTTTCCATGGACGTAAGAATATAAGCCTATAAAACAACTAACACGAGACCCCGTGTTCGATCCGTGACTTCATGTGAACTCCCGTTTTTTACGAAGTCATACTGAGCATGTTTTCTTCAGGTTTCTTCGGTTTCCCCCCGGTGATTACTATTTCATCATTGCTTCATTATCATCTATCGCCGTCTGCCTGATGTATGCGATAGTAATATTCATCAGACAGGGCGTTATTACATCCTCGGACTTCAAGTTGCATCTCGTACTTGAGTGGTCAGATAATAAGGACGTAAAAGGCAAAGGTAAAGCTATCCCTGTAATAGGCCATGGAGGCCCATAGGGTTGTGAGACGTCGAGGTTCCCACATTTTCTAGACAATCGGCTACAGATGGCGGTAAGGTTGTCAGCTTTACTCGCCGGCCGCCCTTTACCCCCCAGGAAGATTCCTGGTACTCATTTCTGTTAAAGACCGAGTCGACCACTGGGCCATAGTGCGACTGGAAAGATTAGGTATATTGAAAAATCCAATGACCTCACCGGAAATTAACCCACGACCTTCCGGCTTGCGGCATAACGCCTCGAGCAACTGCAAAACCACCTGCCCTGAATAAGGATGTAAATGTAGTCAGATATATTACAATAGCCTATATATCTCAAAATGTCACAGATCTTCCCTTCAATTTGCATCTGATGCTCAGTAAATTAGCAATTTCGGCTTCAGTCATGTGACATCATCCAACCAATAAAGTAGTTAAGTTCACCCACAAGGATAGACTTCTTACAGTTGTCAAAGTTTATAAATTAATAAATTTGTTTATGGACAAAACAATGTTCAGACCTATATTACCGTATTTACGCATGTATAGGCCGCACATTTTTTGCCAAAAATTCAAGAGGAAAACTGGGGTGCGGCTTATATTCGAAATCACACTTCATTTAAAAAGAAATATATTCATAATTAGTAATACAGGGTGTTCTACTCCTGAAATAATATTCCAAGAAAATTATTTTTCCTATCATTTCTGTCTGAAAATTGTGCTGCGGCCTATACACGCACGCGGCCTGTACATGCGTAAATACGGTATTATCAAATCCAATGAACGAATGAACGAAACGACTCAGGTTATACTTATAGAAATTAATTTCAAATGTTCCTATAAATATTTGAATAAAATGCTTATTAAAAGGAACTGTACTTAGTTTATATATTTCAGTAAATGTAAATTTCTGTGAATTTTCGTTTTAAATCACCTGAAACACAACACAAAGCTGACCGATTTTTCTCTTTTTCTCACAGTCTGCCATGCAAGTGGAGCCATACGGAAAGAAGCAACGAAAAGTGACGGCTATGCAGTAACCAAGGAACACAAAGTCGCGAGAGAGAGAGAAGACAATCGACTTGTTTTACGCGGCTTTCAGTGAACCAATGAACAATTATTTTTGTATATGTGTAGGACTTTGTAGGACATTAGTACTTTAGGTTAGTTCATCCACCTTTTCATTGAAAGAATCTTGAACCTGTACGGCTGAAATCAACACGTAATAAACAGAAAAAGAGACAATGTGATTAAATTTAATGTTACGAAATATCTTCTTTCCTCTCTGGCTGCAACAGGTGTGCAGTTCCACATAACTGGCTAACTCCATGCGCCTAACAGTCGCTCAGCTCGTCAGTCAAATGCCATGATTACCACCACAAGAACCTATCCATAACCAGACGAAATCCAATCTATAGCCACACAGATTATTTCTTTAAAATTTAGTTTAAATACTATCCTCCCATACATGCGGTAGCGTAGTTGGTTGAGGAACTATGCTACAATCCGGAAGGTCGCGGGATCGAATCCCGATGAGGTGGATTTTTACTATTTACTTACTCCTTCCAGCCGCACTATGGCCCGGGGGTCGACTCAGCCTCTAACAGAAATTAATACCAGGAATATTCCTGGGGGTAAAGGGCGGCCGGCGCGTAAGGGTGACCTCACCGCCATCTGTGAGCCGACTGTCTAGAAAATGTGGGAACCTCAACATCTCACAATCCGTGGGCCTCCAAGGCCTGTTACAGGAATACTTTTACCTTAATTTTACCCATGCAGCCTATTTATATGTTTCTTAATATTTTCTGAATACCTAACGAGAGTTAAGCCGATCACAGTGGACGCGCGGTCTAAGGCATGAATTATCTTCTACAGCTCGAAAACTGAGGTCGTGAGTTCGGATCCCACTCGAGGCATGGATGTCTGTGAGCGTTTATTCTGTGTGTAGGCAGCGGCCTGGCGACGGGCTGATCCCCCATCCAAGGCGTCCTACCGACTGTGTATAGGATAAAGAAACTGAAAAGTGGACAAGATCGAGTCATAGAAGAAAAAAATAGAAATTATTTTCTTGAATACCCAGGCTAGCTGGCACTGCCCAGGCTCTGGATAAATTCCATGCATGAATCTGAAGTATCTTGTCGTCTGCGTCGTATGCCACCCTTTCCCCCATCGGGTTTTTCACCCTCTTTGTCTATCTGTCTGTTTCATGCTTCAAAGGATTAAGACACCCGTGCGGGACAGTTTCCCCTGTTGGGGCCCAGAGCAACCCAATATAAATTTATACCTTTCTGAAAATCTCAGAGCTCGTAAAGTACAGATTTGTAAGGCGATACAGAACGGAACTCAAGGTCGAGAGGGTAATACTGCAGTTTCGTGTACGTGAAATCCAGGGTTTCAGTCTCGGCCCAGAGGCCGACTATCCTGAGTGAGGCTTTTAGTAGCTCAGTCCCTCCAGGCAAATTCCGGGATAGTATCTCCCTCAAAGTAGGCCACGACCCCTTCCCCCATCTCTTCAAATTTATTATTCACTAATAATCTTACCATTCGACGTTATATAGACCGAACTACTAAGAGCGTCGTTAAAATAAGTAATAAATAATTAAAATAGACCCAGAACAAATCCATCTTTCGTCATGTGCCATATATATATATGTATATATATATTTACACTGTCTTTTCAATATAAGTTTTCACGAATAAGGGTGCAAAGCAAGGTAAAGGTGTCCCTGTGCTTAACTAATTAAGCATTACGCTGTGAAAGCGTATGGGGGAGTTGACATATAGAATATTTTCTTGACCTCGGCACTAGTTGGAGGTGAGTGGTCAGCTTCAAGACCCGGCCGCTTCACCCCCNGTGGGCCTCCAAGGCCTGTTACAGGAATACTTTTACCTTAATTTTACCCATGCAGCCTATTTATATGTTTCTTAATATTTTCTGAATACCTAACGAGAGTTAAGCCGATCACAGTGGACGCGCGGTCTAAGGCATGAATTATCTTCTACAGCTCGAAAACTGAGGTCGTGAGTTCGGANTGGGCCCCAGAACCAGTCTGAACGATGTGGAGAAGAGAAAGTTCTTGAACCTACTGGGATTCGAACACCGACCCCTCGGCCATTCAGCCCGTAAGCAGTTGCTATACCGACTGCGCTATCCTGCGTCCCCTAATAATATTTATTATTCAAATCTTGAATCTGGAAACGTAATTGTACTGTTTGTGGAAATGATACATATGCACAATTTTGACCTGTAAGTAGTTGGGTCGTAGCAATGAAAAAAGGTTAATTATCCGATTGAAAGTTAGGGATCACAGTAATGAACTACCATCAGTACAGCCCCATGAACGAGCAAGACGCCGTCCCACTTTTGGGGCTGGAGAGCAAAACTGATGGAAGCATGTGTACAGAGAGTTGATAAAACATTTCGACAGGCTGCTTTATAAATTTAGATGAATTTCCTTTGGCAAAGCTTTGGTTTGCTTGTTGCCAGCAAGAAATATGTCTTCCGGGCGGCACTTACTGAACGAACGTGATGAATGCAGACGCCTACAAACGAGCAAAGTAACATATCGAAATTCCTTGAAGTTCACTTTCTTCTCGTTCGTAATTCCGTGTAGTCTGGCAGATCCTTATCAGCTCTTTGGAAGAACCTGTTACCTCGATCTGCAGCGTACAAGACAAAGCCAATGGTAGGAAAAGTGGCAAGGATATGCACAGGAGAAGAACAGAAACCTCACTGAACCGATAGGGGTAAAGAGACAGAGAAAGTCGTGCCATAGTTCAGGCGGTTAGTCGCCGGCTTCCCACTGCGGCGGCCCGGGTTCGACCACAAGTCACGTCATGTCGGAGTTTACTTCGGTTTCCCCTGCCAATTCTCATTCCACCGATTGCTCCACACTAATTATCTATCGTCCGGGGTTGGTACAGTAGGCCAGTTAGTGACCGACGTACCAAGTGGACTCAGTCTCACCCCCACCCCAAGAAACAAGAACTCCGTAGCCTGTAGTCGGCAAGCGAACTATACCAACCGAGCTACCGCTGCTTGTCGGCGAAGTTAGTCCCAACTTTTGTGGATAGAGGATGTCATAGGCAGCGCAACGGATCCCCATGGCCGTTAATCTCGGTTTTCTAGACCGGAGATGTTATTTCCTCGAAATAGGTCCTCAATTATCATCACGAGGCTGAGTGGACCCTGTTCCAGACCCACTACTTCTCGGAAAATTTGGTAGCGCCGGAATTCGAAACCAGGAACTCCGACCACTAGAACACAGAGGCGGTCAGAAGAAACAAGAAGCTAAAAGAACAACGTGAAGAATACTAGCCCATTAAAGAGCCGTTTTCCAAAGGCAGAGTGACTCAAAGAAACACATAGTACTAAGTACACAGAAATCAGGAGAACAGGATAACGAAATAGTGCTCATAGTGACCATCTGCAGAGGGAAAGTGAATCAGAGAGAAAGACAAAACACTAATGGTAGAGCACAAGCAGGAGGGTCCTCCGAAACTTCGGTACAGTCTACCAGGAAACACGTCACATCCCAGAAGGCTGCAAGCTTCATAATCACCGCTGAGAGAACCTCAGATCTAACACCAAGGGATAGCAGCCTCCGTAGTCTAGGGGTAACGTTCCCACCTCATGACTCAAGGTACGCGGGTTCAAACCCGGCGGAGGTCGTGGAATTTTTAAGGGCGGAAAAATTCAGGGAACAAGTCCTCCGGGAGGGACTTTAAGCCGTGGGTCCCGTGTCGTAGATTTACGGCACGTAAAAGAACCTCATGCCTCTAGGAGACCTCTGAGCTATATTTGGCCAAAAAGTTTCCCGCCCAAGTAGTTTCCAATGCCTCCGGTAGGTGGGGGAAGTATTAGGTACCACTGCCAGAGGAGGTGGGACCTCTCTGACAGAAAGGGACTAACTATTAGATACCACTGCCAGTAGAAGATTGGAACCTCGCTGGCAGAAAGGGGCTGATAGTAAGCACCAGTACCGGTAGGGGATGGAGACTGTAGAAATTAAAAGGGGGACGTACAATAGACTATTAGTCGCGGTGCATGGGGAAACCCACCCCCTCAATACTGAATAACTGAACACCACGGGATCAATCTGGGTAGAGCGCGCCTTCCTGAAAGTAGTTTAAGTGGCGACGCTGTGTTGCTAAATTTAAAGTTCAGAGCGAAACGAATGGTCAGTTATATTTTTAATGAGTTTATTTATAAATTTCAACAAGCCTCCAGAAATAAATTCTTGGCCTAAATGTATTAGAGAGCTGAGATTTTTGGATTTTCATAAGAGTCGTTACAAAGATTACTGTCTTCTGGAGTATCACGCTTACCAGACTACAAGGCGTCACATCCCAGATAACAAAAATATTATTAGTTGTTTAACAATACCGACTCAACCATAGCGCCCCAGGTTGCTTCAGACATTTCTGTGCGTATTTATCATGAAGTGCAGGAAATGAATGCATGACGTAAAGGCTATTTCTTATCAACCATCTGAAACCATGTTGTCACGTATTCGGGGTTTGCGTGACGAATAATAATGGGTTCTGGAACTAATGACTGGATTTATTGGCATTTCTTTACAATTACAATCAATTACAACAGCTCACAGATTGAACTCACTGCTGACTCCCTCACTACTCTCGGACTGATCTCTACTGACCTCGAATTCAAGAATGCACTGCCTTTTATAACTGCCACGCGGCCGGGATAGAAGTCAATTCGAACAATTCCTCTGTTCTTCTGCGTTGTCATGGGAATGCTTTTGTTTAGCGACTTGCTACCTTGCAACGACTCGTTCACTGTTATTCGTTGTTAACGGAAAATAGTCGTTAATATTCGTTGCCGCAGAAACATGATTACCGAGCCGTTGTCTAGCAATGGACGTGTGCTCCGACTTTCAGCCGTCATGTCACAATATGTTTAATCTCCGGAACAAGTGGCGGATTACTGTGAGCACTTTAATGAATATTAAGTTTCTTGAGCAAGTGAACAGCTACGACTTTTAGGTCGGTTGACACTTAGAGCCATAGTTGACGCACCTTGGTACGTGTCAAACCAATCTCTTCACACCGACCTCAAGATCCCATATGTAAGAACCGTAATCACAGACAGAATCCAAAAACATTATCAGAAACTGGAATCTCACCCCAACAACGCAATAGAAGCTCTCCTTCAACCTACACAATACAGAAGACTAAGACGAACTTGGCCAAACGATCTCCAGGAAAACTGAGGTGT